CCTGCCACAGGGCTCTGTCTCCCTCTCTCTGTCTCCCTCCCCTTCCCTCTCCCCCTCCCTTCTCTCTCCCTCTCCCTCTCCCTCCCCCTCCCTCTCCCTCTTTCTCCCCTTCCCTCCTGTCCCTGCAGTTTTTAATGGAGAGTTTCACTCAGGGAGGGGCTTCAGTTTCCAGAGGCGGTAGTGATTTGATGACACAGACATTATGCTGCTGGAGTCCAGTGTAGCTTGAGTTCCGGGTACCAGCAGCACTGCTGGAAACCTCTGTTTGGAACTTTGCTTTAGGCTAAAGGATTTAGCAAACATAATGCATCAAAGTAACTTTTAAAAAAACCTAGTAAAAGCAGTTAACTGTGTTGTTAAATTCTCTGAAGTTAAATGCTTGCCACTGGAAATTATCCTCGGTGAATAGAAAGTGGTGCTCCTAGGCCTTGCATTCGTCTGCATTTAATGTTTTAATGGTGCTTGTGGACTACGTCTCGGGAGCTCAGACTCTGTAGGTCACAGAATGTACCGTTCATAGCGTAAGGGAGAAGTGTGGGTTTTGTTTCTTTTTGTAGTGAACTTGTATATGTTAGGCAAGTATTGTACCACTGAGCTATACCTTATGCCCAGAAAATTACTTAAAAAAAGAAAGAGGCCAAACTATAAAAAAGAAAATAAAATATTATCAAAGCCACATTCATTATATAAAAAATAGAGTAACAACAGAACGTCTTCAAGCTTTTCAAGGGTCTCATGCTCTGCTTTGAAGCCATGTTTTAGCGGGAAGGCTGTCCTCTCCCCTGTACGCTTAGACCTAAAGTCTGGGTAATCGTGGCTCTGGAGCTGTGTGGTGGGCCTGGAATCTTGGGTAACGATATTCACACCCACATTACTGAGTCTGTGCCAGAAGCATCTTGATCCATGTTAGTTCTGATCCGAAGGGGGGTTAATATGAGTAGGCACTGCTATTACTAATCAGAGTCCTCATTTAACATTATCTCCTTAAAGTGTCACATTGACACCATTCATAATAATCTTGAACACTAGCCCACATTATCAGTGTTGGTGGCTGCCACTTCAACCTTGCCCTCCACAGCTTGCCCAGATTTCAAGTTTGAAAGGTCCCACCTGGCAGCACCTCGTCCCTCTCTTTTTCCCATTCTCCTTGTCTGCTCTTGCCCTATGGTCCATCACTACTGTACCTTGGTGCTGCAAAAGATGAGGGTATGATGCTTGTAGAAAAGTATGGGAGGTGGGTGAGGAGCATCCTATTCAGACATGGGTAACAAGGTGTGTAGCTTGGGTCCTGTGTACTGTCTGAACTCTCAGCTGTCCCTTCCAGAGTGTGGGATGTGAATACGGGGGAAATGCTCAACACACTCATTCACCATTGTGAAGCAGTTCTACACCTGCGTTTTAACAATGGCATGATGGTGACCTGCTCCAAAGACCGCTCCATCGCTGTGTGGGATATGGCCTCCCCAACTGACATTACCCTCCGGAGGGTGCTGGTTGGACACCGAGCAGCTGTCAACGTTGTAGACTTTGATGACAAGTACATTGTTTCTGCTTCTGGGGATAGAACTATAAAGGTAATAAGGCGATTTTCAGTAAGTCCTCAGTTAAAGTTCATGTGAGAATTTGACCAATGATAACTGCATATGTAGACATCACCATAGCATAAATTAATATTTAACTCAGAGACTAGTGTTCTGTAAAAAGGCAGTGAGGAAAGCAGGGAGACAATTTCGGCTAGATTCTTGATTCCTGTAAATAACGGTGGTGGGCTAGAGATGTGGCTCCCTGGTAAAGCACTGGCTTGGCATGTGTGAGGCTCTAGGTTCGGCCCCAGCACCACAGAACAATAATGGTGAGCATGAGAAGGTCAGGGGTAAATTTAAGTTCAAGAAAATGTATCTGCAAAATGAGTCAAACCAGATAAATCAGCTTGGAGAATTCCCGTGTGATTGCAGGCAGCTTCTAAGGCAGTGTTACCATGAAGGACATGACATTTGTTTGCTCCATTTTCTGTTTGAGAAATTGATGTGTCCTAGAGGTCCGGTCCTGGTTTTTGCTTCCCTACGACGCCATTCACCATAGATTTTACCAGTAAAAGCAGCAGATCATTGCTCAGTGTCATTTTCCATCTCAGGTATGGAACACAAGTACTTGTGAATTTGTAAGGACCCTAAATGGACACAAAAGAGGCATCGCCTGTTTGCAGTACAGAGACAGGCTGGTGGTGAGTGGCTCCTCTGACAACACCATCAGGTGAGTAGAAGTGCTGTTTCCAAGAATCAATGAGTGTTACCAGACTGGGCAGCACAGATCAGATGGCTCTTCAGTAGTCCCGTTTACCATCAGGTATTTTTCTTGCTGTAGTTGTGTATAAGTCAGCAGAGCCAGAGAAGCAGCACCTCAGCCTTTTTTATACCGTCCCGACCCACAACAGTTTTACCACAAGGTAGACCTGTTCCAGTGAACCAGTCAGTAAAGAAGTAAGCAAGAAGGACAAGTGCCTGGAGGCTGATGCCCCCCCACCCCCGCTTTATTTTTTTAATTTTACTTTATTTTTTGGCAGAACCAGGGCTTGAACTCAGGCCCTTGCGCTTGCCAGGCAAGCACTTATTCTACTGAGCCATCTCCCCAGCCCCTTAATGCCCCTTTTTAGATTTGTCTGCAGTTGAAAAGTGCTAATAAGTTGCTAATAAATGGTGTTAATAAATATCCTTTTTTTTTTTTTTTTTTGTCACTGTTGTGTAAAAAAATAAATTTGTTTCCTAATGAAAAAGCATACACTTTTGCTTAGCATTACAGAACTGGCCTGTATGCAGATTGCATGCATCAGAATACTTCCTTGTGTTTTCCCCTTCACCACACTGAAGGATGCAGGTGTGATGAGAATTTGCAAGTTTTTCCATCCTCTCCTTTTCTTCAGTGAATTAGCGAGAAGATAGAGACTATTTTAAAAAATCAAGCTAAAAGTAAAGTAGAGCTATTGTTATGTCTAAGACAGTTCTTCTTAATCACTTAGATTGGTCTTAAAGCAGACAGCTTTTTAAGTTCTTACATGAATAGCTTTGCGTTTGTCCTCAGAGCTGGAGGTGGAGGTGTCGTGTGAGGGCTGGTCCTGGCGTTGCTGTCCTGGACTGGTCATTTCCTTCCCCGGAAACTGTTCACTGATTTAGTCACTTTTGTGCCTGGGAGAACATGGTTATAAAGCCTTTTACACAAAGCACTGTGCTCAGAAAATGACACTACATTTGAGTTTAAATCATAAACTTTTTCCTGCCTGTTAATGTGGCAGAAAGAAAATACATTCACAACAATACACTTTCATATGAGTGGTGATTGCTCTTATTTTGTGGATTCTTTTGTGTTTGTTTGTTTGCTTGTTTTGAAACAGGATCTCCATATATAGTTCAGGCTGGTCCTGGAGTCAACTATGAGCCCAGACTGGCCTTGAACTCACAACAGTCTTTTTGCCTCAGCCTCCCAAGTGCTGGGATTACAATTGTGTGCCAACATGCCCAGCATGGGTTCTTAAAAGATGTGTGAAGTATATTCTTATAACATGCCAAGCTTAGAAAAGAAGACATGAAAATTCACATGACTCACTGTTCTCTTTTAGATTGTGGGACATAGAATGTGGTGCATGTTTACGAGTGTTAGAAGGCCACGAGGAATTGGTTCGATGCATTCGATTTGATAACAAGAGGATAGTCAGCGGGGCCTATGATGGGTGAGTTTGCTAATAAGGCTGAAAAACACATCCGCGAGCTGGGCTCTAAGGGTGCAGTGTAGGCACTCTGTGGTAGGGCGCATGTTTTGCACACGTGAAACCCTGGGTTCAGTGACACACCGCATGCGCACATGCACTGTCTATTCCTGAATTATGTCTGGTGTAACTAAAACCTTTTCTTATTTCTAAAAACTAACAGAGGGGCCGGGGAGATGGCTCAGTAGGATAAGCGCCTGACTGGCAAAAGCAAGGATCTGAGTTCAATCCCCGGTTCTGCCAAAAATAAATAAATAAATAAATAAATAAATAAATAAAAACTAACAGATTTCCCAGAAAGAACCTAATACAATATTTCTTCAATCTGTGTACTCACCTCTCCTGGGATTGTTACTTTCTAAAATGTTTTTTAAGGAATTTTTTTTTTTTTGTTCCTCGAACGCCTTCAGGGCACTTTTGGCCAGCGGGAGAGGTGTGAGGTTCGAACTCCAGCAACCTGAGGCTGACAGCTTTGTGGAAGCAGCCACTTAAAGGACTGAGCTAGGGCCAGGCCCCCTAAAATGTTTTTTAGAAGTGATTTTGTTACACTTTCTACATGTGGACGCCATTATTATTTTAGCTAGTTGCTTGCAGTTTTGTCTGCTTTTCTCTATAAATCAAAGAACCAGACAGACTACTCTACCAGGATATGTATGTAAAGTGGGAGCTTGCTAATAAATCGGAGACACTGAAGGAGGGCAGTATCTTTGAGACTTACTGTGGAATTTTGATCCCTTTGCTTTTAATCTGAGAGATTCCTAAAGTGTATCTCTTCTCATCACCTCTAGCACTTCATTTGTAATGAATTCAATCTAATTTCCAGACAGCTTAGAATCTAGTCATGTTTTGAGTAGATTGACACAAAGTCCAGAGGAGGTTCATACAAAAATTTACACCTCTGAAAGACACTGTTTTTTTCCTTGTCAAAGTACCTCATTTTTGGTGGGAATAAGGGGAATAGAAGCTACCATTCCAATTTTGGCAGTGTTTTAAATACTAGAAACCAACAGCATTAACTTAGTTTCTGAGCTGACTAGTAGCGGTCCATTAAAACTCAAGCCTCAGGAAGTAATTCACTTTCTCTGCTTTGAATTAGCCATCACGGCCATACCCTTGGAAAACTGTAGTTTGTGTGGCATGTTCCTGATAGGTCACTGTTCTGTGTTTTGGCTTTGATTTATCTCTACTTTTCTGGGATCTCGTCCTTCATATAACTTGAGGAAATGTATCCAGCACATGGTGCCTTGGTCCATGAACTGAATTCTTTCCATGTTTTTGGTCACAAACGGAATTGGACAAGAACCAAATCAACTTTTCTGATAAGGTCATTTACCCTAACCATTGACTTCGATTTGATTCTCATCCAGTTTGTGACGAAAATCATGGAAAGAATCGAGTTCATGAACCTAGGTACCATTGTAATTGATTATTAGAAGGGCTTAACTTTTCTAACTTAAATCGAAATGTGAGGGTTTCCTTTTATAGATCTACCCAGATTTAAAGATCTACCCAGAGCTTTTAAGTAGATCCAGACTTTGCTGCTTGAGATCTGGCCCTTTCTCAGACTAGAAAGAGGATGCCTAAGAGGTATAGATCACTAAATCTAAGTAATCTGCTATCATTAAGAGTTCTAATGGGGGATGGGGAGATGGCTCAGTAGAAAAAGTGCTTGCCTGGCAAGCATAAGGGCCTGAGTTCAATCCCTGGTTACCCCCCACCCCCCGCCCCGCCAAAAAAAAAAAAAAAAGTTCTAATGGCCAGACACAATAGGGCACACCTGTAATTGCAGCTACTCAGGAGACTGAGTTGAAAGATTGCAAGCTCCAGGCCAATCTGAGCAACTTAGTGAGACCTTGTCTCAAAACATACAAGTAGAACCAGTTGGCTGTGAAGCCCAGTGGTGGAATGTTTGCACAGTATAATGGGCTTAATATCTAGCACTGCAAAAAAAAGAGGCGTGAGGATCTGGAGTAGAAGATCTCCACTTGCTCCAAGTACGCTATGACTTTGCCATTAGCTGTCTTCAGTTTGGTTAAGGCTAAACTGTTTCTTGTTTTTAGGTTAATCATGTTCATTTCCCCCCTATTAAGACTAATAATCTCACACAAGAATGAATACAAGGACTGATTTTCCAAACTAAAATGTATTCCTGTGAACTGGACTCATAAAAATCTATCCACCATGCATTTGAGTTGTTGCTTTTCTTCCCTGTATTTTCTTTTCTTTTCTTTTTTTTTTTTTTTTTTTGGTGGAACTGGGGATTGAACTCAAGCTGTTGTGCTTACAAGGCAAGCGCTTATGCTACTGAGCTATCTTCCCGGCCCCTGTGTTTTCTTTTAGAGGGTGGTATATTGTCCTTCATCTCAATCATTTATTGGTTCTTTGTGTTGAGACTATTTGGGGGGCTGGGGACATAGCTCAGCAGCACAGTACCTGTCTGGCAAGTACAAGGTCACAAGTTCAATTCCTGGTACCAGAAAAAGAATATTCAGAATCACCCTTACTAGCTTCTTGAATTAGGCAGTTGTTGTTGGCCATAGTGTTATTGCTGCACCCTAGAACATTATAAGTTATTCCTCTCCAACTACACCTACCTCTGGCTCTGTTAATGATCCTCTCCTCTGTCTCTCTCGTTTTGTTTCATTTCATTTTGCTTTTGAAATAGGGTCTCACTATGTAGTCCAAGTGCTCGCTCTGTTGTGCACTCTCTCTTTCTCTCTCTCTATATATATATACATATACATATTTTTTTAATTTTTTTTTTAAATTTTAGGGAACAGTCTACAGGGTGTTCAGAGGCTCACTACTAGATCCAACTCAGACTCGTAGTGACCCCCCTAGTTACAGCCTCCCAAGAGATAGAATTACAGGCATATGTCACCACGCAGTCTCAATGTATCCTGGTGGTGGGGCCGGCACAGCAGGCCCAGGGATCAAACCCCTGGCCCCTGTGCCTGCTTGCAGGCGCTTTAATCTGCTGACCTATTTGGTTGGTCCTCAGGCTTACTTTAAACTCACAACCCAGCCTGGTTTCAAACTCATAACAATCCTCCTGTCTCAGCCTCCCAAGTGCTGGGATTATAGCGTAAGCCACTGTGTCTGGTGCCTCTTCTTTTTCTTCTTCTTTTTTTTTTTTTTCTTAAATTGAGTTTATTGGTACATTTTAGGTATGCATAATGCTCACATTCATCATAGAGAATTTATACTGTGCAGGACACAGCTTGATTCTTTTTCCCACATCTCCCACCCTTCCTTTAACTCCTCTTCCCCTCCTTATTTACAGAAGCTTTGGTTTTTTTTCTTTTCTCATTTTGTCTCCCTCCCTTCCTTCCTTCCTTCCTTCCTTCCCCTCCCTCACCTCTAGCTCCTGTCCCCATTTGAACATTGTCTTCCTATCTCACAACACCTATTACACATTTTGGTCCTTATTTACACTTTTGGTTTCTCACACCATAGAAACAGTAGAAACAGTGTGGTATTTACACATGTGTGTCTGATTTGTTTCACTTGGGAGTATGGTCTCAAAATGCATTCATTTAGGGGCCAGGGAGATGGCTCAGTAGGGTAAGTGCTTCCCTGGCAAGCACAAGGGCCTGAGTTCAATCCCCGGTTCTGCCGAAAGAACACACACACACAAAAAAAATGCATTCATTTAACTCTAAATGTCAACAGTTTATCCTTCTTTACAGCAGAGTAGTACTCCATGGTATTTTAAAACATCACCTCTTCTTTACTCAGTTGATGGACATTTGGGTTGTTGGCAAGATTTAGCTATTAACGAGCTGTGCTGCTATAGACGTAGATTTGCATATATCACTGTGGTATGACACTTTTAATTCTTTTTGCCCTGTATTTCCTTAATTGTGCTTTTAGTTGAGGTTTATATTTTGGTTTTGGTGCCCAGGACCGAACCCAGGGCTTCCAGGTTGCTAGGCAAGTGCTTTACCACTGAGCTAAATCCCCAGGCCCTCATAATTGTGCTTTTGACTGAGATTTTGGTCCCCTTTTTGGTCTTTAGAAAGATAAAAGTGTGGGATCTGTTGGCTGCTTTGGACCCGCGTGCCCCTGCAGGGACCCTCTGCCTGCGGACCCTTGTGGTAAGAGCCGGTTGCTGTGGGAGGCTGGGAGGTGGTGGATTATACGTTGGTGTGGTGTAAAGGGAGATCGGGTCAGACAGATTCTCACAAAGCCTGCTGAGTGAAAAGGCAGCAAGCATATGACAAAAATGTTTACATAGTGCCTTTCGTGCAGAAGTGCTTTAGAGGCTCTGTGGAGAGGGATGTGGCAGCTGTTCAGCAGCTGTGCCGCAGCTCTGCAGTACAGGAAACACGTAAGAGCTCCGTGCCCACCAGGAGTAACGGGCACTGAGGGAGAGGGACAGAATTACTCTGGTTGGAACCTGTCCAGAGCCTGAGCACCTGCATACCTGTGCCTGCAGAAAGGGCGCTGGGAATGTCGAGAGCTTGTGGTCAGTGCCTCAGCTCTGTGCTGCACTCGAGGGGTGGGGCCTGCAGCTGCTCAGATCTGCTCGGGTCCTCCCTGTGCACCCCATGTGACAGACATCAGAGGAGGACTGTGCGAGCAGGAGTCACACCAGTGGCAGGGCTCTTGCCGTTTGCCTGGTAAGTTTGAGGGCTGTGGGCCTGGGCCAACTGCCCATTGCCATAAAATGCGAGGCGGAGGACTGTCATTTCAACAAGCATCGAACGCTTTCCCAGCACGCTCACCAAGAGCCCAGATCGGCAGCTGCTGCTTCACTTAGGAGATGAAGTGGGACCCCCAGGTGGCAGGATCTTGTGCCCAACATAGACAAGACAAGAAGAAGCATTCCAAGTTTAGTGCTCTGAACCTTGGCTCTTACTCTTTCAGTGTTCTTGGCTCAGAATTATATGGGTTTAAAGCATGTTCTGTCAGAAGTACATGTACTTAATCTGTGTATTTTACACATGTCTTTTAAGATGTGTCCAGTCATTCATTTACAATTAATCAGACAAGTCTGATGTTTTGAGATATAACCCCGATCTTTCTTTAGGGTGCTTCTGTGAACTCTGCAGTCGTATAATTCCTACTGCAATCAAGCTACAGAACTTTTCTATCACCCCCTATTTTCTTAGGCTTCTTTACTGGGTTGGGTGGTTGCTTTCTTTCTTTCTAATCTATCTGTCTGTCTATCTTTCTTTCAAATGTATTTTTCAGTACAGGGTCTACAGGGTCTCACTACACAGATTGGACTTGTAGTGATCCACCTGTTTTCAGCCTCCACGTGCTGGGATTACAGGCACGTGCCACCACGCCCAGTCTCAGTCTGTCTCAGCACACCCTGGGGGCGGGGCTGGCACAGCATGCTGGGGATTGAACCCCAGCCACTGTGCTTGCCTAAGTCTTCTGAGCTCTCTGGCCCACCTACCTTCCTAGGTTTCTATCACCGCCCCCAGGTTTCTTGCCTCCTGGCAACTGTTACTAACCATATGTCTGATCGCCCTCATTATAACTTTGATTTCTTATGAATGTCATATAACTCAGACAGTATGTGGCCTTCTTTAATCTTCATTTGAAACGTACCCATGTTGCCCGTATTTGTACGCTGCTCCTTTTTATCCCCGAGTAGTACTCCGGTGGAAGATGAGCCGATTTGTTATGCCTTCACCAGCCGAAAGATGTTTGGGATGTTTCTAGTGCTCACTGGCTCTGAGTAAAGCCACTGAAAATTTTCCTCTACAGGTTTTTATGTCCACACTGTTTTCATTTCTCTCGGGTAAATATTTAGGAGTACAATTTCTAGATCCAATGGTAGATGTGTGTTTAAATGTAAAAGAAACTACCAAACTACTTCTCAAAGTGGCATTTTAGATTTTGAAAAGGCAAAACATTTTGGATTTTTACTGACTATATGGAAGTTATTTTTTCCATGTCTTTGTCAGCACTTGGTATTTTAGTATTTTAACGTTTGAATGTGCAGTTTGCATTTCTGTGATAATTAATGATGTTGAACGTCTTTTGATTTGCCTATCTTTTGAGAAATGTCTATTCAGATCTGTCTGTCCATCTTTCTGTTTTGCTGTAGTGGACGTTGAACCCAGGGTCTTTGCACTGAGCTACATCTCCACCCTACTTGGAGCCCTCCTGTTTCAGCCTCCTATAGTGCTAGGATTTCAGATGTGTATCACCATAACCAGTGTACTAAATTTTTTTTAAAAACAGATTTTTGATGGGTCTGGGAAGATAGTTCAGTAGAATAAGCACTTGCCTGGCAAGCACAGGGTCCTGAGTTCAATCCCAGGTACTGCAAAAGAAAAAAAAAAAGTCAGCTTTCACTCATTAAAAAAAAAGCCAATAAAACAGATTTTTTGAGGTAAATTAGCACACAATAAAGTGGACATGCTGCAAGTATCCAGCGTGTTAAGCTTGATTCATACGTACCAGTGGAGCCAGGCACAGTGATGCCAGACAGGGTCTCCCCGTGTAGTTTAGGCTCTGAAGGATGGCCTCAAGCTCATAGTGATCCTCCTGCCTCAGTCTCCCAAATGCTGGAATCACAGGAGTGTAGCACTATATCCAGCCCTGTCTGTGTTTTCTTTAATCTATTATGATCATCCCTGCCCTTAATGGACATGTATAGAACATTTATGTTTAATTTTCAGACAATTTGTAATGTATCATGTTGCTATTTTCTTTTTTTATTTATTTTATTGGTTCTTCAGCTAAACGGAGGAGATGATTTATAGTACATGCTTTACACTTGGCCAAAAGCAAAAACAAAAGTAGTCCAGAATGCCACAGGTCCAGGGCAAAAAGCCAGGGGACTGCTTAGTTTGAACCAGGTGGCTTGCTCAGGTGGCTTGCTCTTTGAGGTGGTCTTGGCAATCAGATGGCAGCGAAGTTCTGGTCCAGTGAGGCATCCTGGCAGCACGCAGTCCAAAGCCTGTGCGAGCGCCGCCAGCCGCAGGCGCTCTTTCTTTCTGCTCTTCTGGTTTCCGTGGGGGTGCGAGCTGTTTTACTTGGACCTCTGTCTCATCTTCCTTCTTCTACGCTTCAGCCTGCACGTTCTCTTCTTCCTCCACTTGGCTCTCAGGGTGCAGAGATTTCTAAGAAGATGGCGTTAAAGTCAAGGGCATGTTGCTATTTTCTGTTTTTATTTCCCTCATTTTCTTGTCCTTTGAGGGGTTAATTTTGAGGGTTTTGTTTTACCTTCATGTTTTGTTTCCTAGTTGCATCCATGTGGTACAAGAGCATATGTATCTTTAGTAAGATATCCTATTAAGTGATATTGTACCACTTCATGTGGAATGAAAGAAACTTAAGATTCTGTTTTTATTTCTTTCATCCATTGTGCTATTGTTGCCATAGATTTTATTTCTGTGTATGTTATTGTTCCCACAATACATCATTTAAAAAGAGCTGGGATACAGAGTTCTAAGCACCTGCCTGGCAAGCCCGAGGACCTGGGTTCAATCCCCAGTACCACAAGACATGCCACTGTGTCAGCATGCCAGCCACCGAAACTGGGCGTGGTGGTGCACGTCTGTAATCCCCGCACTGGGGAGGCTGAGATAGGCGGATCACTACAAGTCTGAGCTGTGTAGCAAGACCCTGTACCAAATAGATAAAAGATAGTTTAAAAATTAAAAAGAAATACGAAGAGCTGGAGTGCAGCTCAGTGGAGAGCACATTCCTGGCGTTGGAGCCAGCCAGCCGTGGTGTGAGACCTGGGAGATCATGAAGTAAAAGAAATCTTCCCTCGAAATTGTTTGTCTCACCCAGCGTGGCGATACATGCCTGGGATCCCAGCACTGAGGAGACTGAAGCAAGCAAATCACTTGGACTCACAGATTTGAGACTGGCCTGGGCAACATAGTGAGGCCTCATCTGAAGAGCAGACAGCTCACACATCATACAGTGTATCCTCTCAGACCACAGTGGAATTAAACAAGAGACCAATAACAGAAAGGTAGCTGGAAAATCTCAAAATATAACCTACTTTTGGTCAGGCATGGTGGTGCATTCCTGTAGTCCCAGCTATTTGGGAAATGAAGGCAAGAGGTTATAAGTTCAAGGCCAGTCTGGGCAACTTAGCAAGACCCTGTCTCAAAGACGGGGCCTGGAGATATCACTCGTGAGAAGGCCCTGGTTTCAGTCCCCAGTGCCCAATAAATTAGTGAGTGACATGGCTGGGGTGTTGTTCTGTGATAGGGCACTCACAGAGCTTGTGCAAGATCCTGGGTCCAGTCCTCAGCTTCACTAATTAAGTTTTTGAATGATCCTGTTTTACACTGTTTGCCACATAACTGCATGATAACTAGGACTATAAATAGGAGATTATTTAAATAGAAAGATTATGGCAAGTTTGAAGCCAGCCGGGGCTACGTAGTGAGTGCAAGGCCAGCATGGATTACATAGTGAGACCCTGTCGAAAGAAAGGGGAGGAGGTGGAGGGAAAGGGAGAAACAAAAAAAAGTAAATAAAATGAAATAAATCTTTAAAGAAAACTTTCACATAACATGAACCAGAGCAATCCAACAATATACAGTATAAAGAAAAATACACTGTGACCAAATGTGATTTCAGGTACAGGACACAAGAATGAGCTTGTGGAGCACACTCAGAAACCCATTGCTAAAACAAAATAATAAAAAAAATAAAAAACCATTGCTAGCATCTATCGTGGCAGTCATGAGCCTGCGGCGCACGTGCTGCAGTGGCCGCCTGTACCGCGAGGACTCTTAAGGGCTTGCCATCATGGTCTGCCACAGTGACAGGCAAAGGAAGAAGACCGTGTGTCAGCACGTGCAGAGCCCAGTGTGGGCCTGCCCTTGCTGGCACCAGCTGCTGGGGAGGCTGGCGTGGGAGGCTCCCAAGTTAGGGCCCACCTGGCCAACTTAATATGACCCTACTTCAAAAACGAAGAGAGAAGGAAAAAAAGATGAAAACTGGTGGTGTGGCCCAGTTTTAGAGCACCCCAGGTTTAATCCCCAGTACAGTTAATTCAGTAAAAGTATTGACAATTTCAGTTCTCATTAAAAACTGAGCAAGCTAGAAATAGAAGGGAACTTCCTCAGTTTCATGAAAGTGCAAATTAAAACTATCCTAAAATACATTACAGACCCGCTAAAATTAAGTGATGTGTAGTGGCCAGTGATGGTGAAGACCTGCAGTTGAGGCACAGACACTGCGGTGGGAGGGCCGAGTGGCACAGCTCTCAGATGCTGGGTATGTTTGCCACAGCCGGCCTGCTGCTCCTTGGGGCAGGACGGCACACCGACCCATCAGCAGGCATGCACACAGCGTTGCAGCAGCTTGCTTGCTTTTTCTTTCTTTTTGTACCAGGGATTAAACTCGGGACCTTGTGCTTGCCAAGCAGGCACTCCTGCTGAGCTATGTCTCCAACCCTGCAGCAGCTTTCGTCCTGACCAGTGGACCGCCAGTTTAAGGCCAGCCTGGGCAATTCAGACTTATCTCAAAATTGAAATAAAAAAGGGCTGGGAAAGCAGTTCATTGAGAGAGTACTTGCCTTGCACGTTGAAGACCATTTCAGTCCGCAGCCCCACCAAAGAAAAAAAAATTTAAAAAATAAATGTCTGTTTTACTTGTGGTAAAGATTAGAGAGGAATCTTATAGCTATGTCTTAAGTAAATGAAGGCAGACTAAAAGAATATATTACTGTTTAGGGACTGGGGATTTGGCTCAGCGGTGGAATGCTTGCCTAGCAAGCTGGAAGCCCTGGGTTTATTCCTCAGCACCAAAACCAAAACAATAACCCCCCAAAACACCAAAACCCTCCCCTAAAAGCATATATACTGTGTAGTACATTTATATGAAATTCAAAGCTGGGCAGCACAAGTAGGAGCGCAGTCTTGGCAACACAGAGGAGCCCTGACTCCAAAAGCGAAAGGAAGAGTGGTGCCGGGGCTGTGCAGAGGCCCGGGTTCAGTCCCCAGTGCCACACGCTCTCACACTTGCATGCATGAACACTAAGCATTAGAGTGATGCTAACCCTGATGAGTGGGGGCCTGAGTGTGCCTCCTTGGGCCCTGGAAGCAGTCTACATCTGGACCGGGACAGTAGTGACAGCCAGGCGTGCGCCAGATCATCAGGCTTATACCCATTTACAAGAGCCATTGGGTTGACTTTCATGAATTTTGCAGGTTGATATACCAAGAAATCTGCGCAGTATATGGCATTACAGATTGAGAAGGTTTAATCGGCAAGCACTTGGCAGCTTACCTTTGTTACTGCTTGCCACCCTCTAACTAGAGAAAGAACTTAGAGACAGAGAGAGGAGATAAGGCGAGAGAGGCCCTGAGAAACACACTTTCCTCGCCCACGCTGAGGAGAGTTGGCAACAGGAACCTTGGGAGCTGTTTTCCGCTGAAGAACATCACTATTCGGTTCATGGAGTCAGATCTCCAGCTTTTGATTTTCCACCCTGCCATTATCAAATCAAGCTTTCCTTCTGTGTTTTTGAAACAACAGAATGATGAAGAGAAAATGACCACATACCCTTCACCGTTCAGTGGGCTCCCTTGGACATGATGGCAGGTTTGTGTCCTTTTGGTTTTGAGTAGTTCAGATCTTACTTACCCTTTTCTTTCTGCTTCAGGAGCACTCTGGAAGAGTTTTCCGACTCCAGTTTGATGAATTCCAGATTGTCAGCAGTTCACACGATGACACCATCCTCATCTGGGACTTCCTCAATGACCCAGCGGCCCAAGCAGAGCCCCCACGCTCCCCGTCGCGAACATACACCTACATCTCCAGATAGACCCTGGACCTCGCCCGCCCAGGTAGGAGCAGGAGAGGCAGAGGGGAGATGCTGGGAATTAAGTCCAGGCAGCACGGCTAGCGCCACTTCTGCCTGGGCATCCAGCCTGCAGTCCAGAGGGCTGTGGGTCCTCCTGAGAAGTGGATCTAACCATTTCTTTGCAGGACAATTGCTGGGAAAATAGAATGAGATTTGAACCTGCTTGAAAGCAGATTTAGTGCCCAGGTCAGACACAACCCGCAGAGACCTTCAAGCCCAGCTAATAACCCCCTGTGTGCAGACTCTGTCTCGCTGTCTGCACTGTCACTGACTCCTGGTTGCAGCCTAAGCCCTGCTTCCTGCCCGACCGCAGAGAGAAGGCCTGGCGCTTGCCTGCAGCAGCTCTGCAGCTCTGAGGACTCACAGTGCCGTCCACCCGGGCACCTAGAGTACCCAGGGCGTCTGCACCTGTCTTGGTGCATACGGCAGTCACACCTGGTGTCCTCTCCCATCCATGTACATTTAGTCACCAAGTAACAGCAGGGAGTGTGGCTGTCCTTACTGCCCCCTTCTTGTGGCCGAACCACAAGCACACTCCACTTGGGCCACTGCTAGTGGTCCTGAGGGTGCTCGGCTGGCCCTCCCCTCGGCCTCTGCTCTCCAGTGCCTCGACCCTCAGCCCTTTGACCAGGCCCAGGATGTGTGCCCTCACACCGGTGACTTCCCAGATTGAGTCTCTTGGTGCACAAAATGAAGGGTGCTGTGTAGAGATGCTGATTTTGAATTCTTGGTGCCTAGAACATGATAAGCCCTCAGTAAATCTGCAAATTATTTGTGAGACAGGGCCTTGCTATGTAGTTCAAGTTGACCTTGAACTCACTATGTAGCCCAGGCTGGTCTCAAACTGAAGGTGATCCTCCTGCCTCAGGCTCCCAAGTGCTGGGGTTCTAGGCATGCAACACCACATCCAACTGCTCATTGTTACTAATACTGTAATTCTTTTGTACCTATCCCTACTTTGTAACATGATTTTCCTTAGACTTAAGCATTTAGCCTATTTTGGATGTTTTTTGTTGGTTGGTTGGTTTTTGTATTTTAGGGAAGGGTCTACAGGGTATTCAGAGGCTCACTACTAGATCAGACTTTGACTCGTAGTGATCCGCCTGTTTGCAGCCTCCCAGGAGCTGGGATTATAGTTGCTTGCCTCCACGCCCAGTCTTAATTTCTGTCTCAGCACACCCCGGGGGTGGGGGCAGCACAGCAGGCCTGGGGATTGAAAAACATCTCCCCACCCTTTTCCCCTACCCCTGTGCCTGCTTGCCAGCGCTTTAATCCTCTGAGCTATTTGTCTGGCCCTTTGTTTGTTTGCTTAGGGGGGAAATGCTGGGTATGAAATCTAGGGCCTTCAACATGCAAAGCCCATGTTTGACCACTGCGTTGTGTGGGTAACCCAATTTGTATCACTTTCCTTAACTCTGGTTGCTCTGTCTCCTTCCTTCTCTTACCCCTAAAACAGACCTTCCAAGAGTATCTCAGGTAGAGGCTGGGAAGATGGCTTAGTAGAATAAGTGCAAGGGCCTGAATTCAATCCCCAGTTCCGCCAACAAAAAAAAAAAAGTAAAGAGTGTCTTAGGTTTTTCTGACTTATCTAAGCCCCCTTCTTGGGCTGATCTGTCTGTTCCTAAAGCTTTAAGCTCTTGTGTCACATTTCTGTGTATGTGACTCAAATTTGTATCTAGAGCCCAACTGGCTGGGCTCTGCCTTTGTCTCCAGGCCTTATCTCTAGCCACCGTCTGCACATCTGCGCTTGCTGTACGGGGCACTGCCCAAGCTTCTGTCTATGGCTCCTCCAGCCAGCCCCCAGCCACCCTCCCTGGGTCCATCCCTGCTCTGAACGGCCTCATTTGTACCTGGCCACTCAGGCAGAAGCTCAGAGCCACCCCATCCAGTCTGCCCTCCTGGGAGCAGTGAGAACTGGGCCCCCTGACCCCTGGCCACCACTGCCTGAGCCTTCCCGTGGCACCCTGAATGTGTCGGCAGCCTCAGCCAGTCTCGGTCAATCCCTGCCATGCTAGGCACCTTGGACAGGAGCCCCGATCCTGCATGTGCAAGGAGCGGTCTTGGGAATGGACCCCTTGTCCCTTCTCCCAGTTGATAGCCAAGTGTATGTTCTTTTGATCCCAGAGCAGGTGCGACAGGGGAGAGGGGGTAATGATTGTTGGCTCCGTTTCCACACAGGACTCATTGCAGTTGCAGTATTTAATATATCTGCAAAGACCAAGACAAACAACAACAGCAACACTCAAATTCCTACCTGGCTCCCTGGACCTGCAAGGAGCAGGGCTTCAAGACTCCTGGTGGGATACAGTTGGTCTGCGGCTGACCAGGACCGTCTGCTTGGCCTCAGCCCGCTGCTTCAGTGCTGCTATCAGAAGATGTCTTGTATCTTGAGTGAATGAATAATGGGGACGCTTTTGCTGCTCCCCTTCCCCCTCCTTTCCCTCACACCCGTTCTTCCTCCATTTGGTTCCAGACAAAGATGACTTATAAATATATTTAGTTGTTTGGACAGAATCTCTCTTGCTTTGCGTTGAGCAGAAGAATGGGTTTCCCCAGATAGCCCTCTTCTAGGGGCACACAGAGTCTGGGGTCGCCATGTTCACTGCAGGGTCCGCACCTGGCCAGAGCAGAGGAGACGGCGCCCTGACAGCCTCCGAGGGAGGGGAAGAGAAAGCGAGTGTGCCCTGGAGACCTGGCCTGTGCCTCCGCTTTCCGCTTCCACCCCCTCTCCTCCCCTGCCCTCAGCCTGGAGAGCTCACCCGCAGCGTGCCGCATCTGGAGGGGCCCATGTGTAGGCCTGCTGTTGGGACCCGAGGCGCTGAGGCAGCAGAGGATTCTCAGTGTCACACTGTCATCCCACTGGAGACTGCTCCTCATCCTGTACCTGGTAGCAGGAGCTTCCTGGACGCTATGGGTGGCTGCATCTTTGTGGACTCAGTGGTCTGCCGGATTCCATGTAGAGTGAGGGAAGGAGCTACTGATTGCATTTCCTCTCATTAACAATTAGATGTGTAATAAAGGCCTTGTACTTTATCTTCAATCACTGGTAAAGACTCAGCCTACAGAAATCTTCGAGCGGCAGGAGCCAGTTGCTCAGTGTCCTACACGGTGGCTTCCTCCTCACAGCCTCCGAGGCCCAGGCAGGCACCTGAACCTGCTAGGACCACCGGCAGGGGTACTTGCGTGATGGCCAGGCATGAACGTTGGTTTCTCTGTCCTTGGGGCCAGTAGGTGTGTTTGGGAACTTGATCTCCCCATCTCAGTCTTGCGCTGCAGAACCGTGCTTCTGCTTCTCCCAAGCCTAGTATCTGCAGAAGAGAACACTGCCTGAGGGGCAGTGGGTCGAGTTTGGCACACGGGGTTTATAGACGGGCGGGAACTGCCTTCTCTCTCCTCCTTCCTCCCAGCTTCCGTCTGTTTGCTTCTTCCCCAGCACTGAGGAGAGTAAGTGGCCATGGCAGGGGCGGGGCCAGCATGGCCTCTTGCACAGCAGCTGGGTGGGCTTCCAGCCAGTAGCCGATGGGGTGGAGGGGCGGCTGGCCTCGCCTGCGTGCCCCTTGGAAGCTGAGCAGTGAGGCGTCTTGTTGCTGTTCCCAGCCCGTGCAGCCGAGCCTAAGGAAACACATCCTGCACGGTGGCGCAGAAAGCGCAGGTGGCGTTGCACGAGGCCTCCAGCCCAGCCTCCGTGAGCTCTGCAGAGCGGAGAGAAGCACCGCTCTGTGCTCCGACTTGGAGGGAGGTTCCCCGCGAGGGCAACACTGGCACTGAGAGGTGGCCTGTGGGGGTGCGGTTTGCCTTTCCTGCTTTACAGCTGCTTTTAAGCTCTTAGTCTCAAGTTCTATTCAGAAAACATTTTCTCACTGTATTTCCCTTCCCAGCTACCAAAATGCTATAGAGACTTGTTCTCTGCTTTGCCACTGTCAGGGCTTCTTGTTTATTGCGTTCAGTATTGATGGCTGTTGGACTGTTTGAGGTTTTTGCTGCAGGTGAAGAAAGCTATCAGCTCTGAAAAACACACAGGCACTAAACAAGGGTAGGTTTCAAGCCATTGTGACTCCTGGCTGTCCCTTCACTAGCTCTCATGCACTGCCGTCAGAGTGGGAGCAGAGTGGGGCACTGGCCTCCCACAGGTGCTGGGTCCATGCTTAGCACCACAGAGGGAAAACGGCGTGGGGCAGCTGTGTGCCTCACTGCCCAGGCTTCCGCCGTCTGGGTTGCGCTGAAGGCACCGCGTGGTAGAGAAAGCCCCTGGGCGGGAGGGTGGACCCCGCAGGGGCACAGCCATCAGCTCAGGTGAGGCGTCGCCCCGCAGTCCTCTGCTGCGGAAGGGAAATGGGAATGAAGTTAAGTGGTCTGAAAACTTGATCATTCACGTTTCTCAGCTCTGGGGGTCATTTACCAGTTCATTGTAGAAGAAATAATCAGGTAAGTAGAAGTTCATTTCCAGAGAAGGTAAACCCCACTTACCATCTCTGCATGATTTCAGTGGGAATTGATTATCACTAATCCCCAACTGAGATTTAAAAAATGTAAAATTTGACCTTTGTGAAAAGAAACAAAGACATCTTGACACATTTAAAGGAACGGTAAAAAAGAATTGTAGATGTCCCCTGGCTCTGAAAGGAAGGATCCCCAGTGTATCTTGGTTTCAAACCTTTCTTTAGCATAGGTAGTTGAGGCGTGTGTGCGCTGCAGCTGCCGGACAGACTGCCAGAGCGCCCTTCAGCTGAGCGCAGCCTGCAGTGGGCGCGACTTTCGGAGGTGCCCCTTGCACTTTCCCTCGGCTAAGCTCTTCTTTATGGGTCCTCCATGGAGACAGGACTTGTGTAAAGTCTGGGGCTCAGAACTTGTGTTTGGGGCTAGAGGTTGGCTGCGGAGGAGAAAGCATGTCCCCTTTGTTTCTTCCGGAGCCATTATCTGAAAAGCTGTGGCTGGTTGTCTCAGAACTTGCTTATGTGTGGAAACGGGACTTGCGACGTCCATGTGGGAGAATATATTAGAAATTATTAGGGCGATTTTTTTCTTTCCTGGAATTGGGTTAGGTTCCTTGGCATTGCTGACCTTAGCGTTTTCCTTCTGCCTCGGATGGTGGCACCTTGTAACCCAGACGTGGACGCAGCCCAGGCCAGAGTGGTGCTGGCCCAAGGGTCAGGTGTACCCTTGATTCTGTAGTAGCCCAGGGTGCTCGTAGGTAGAAAGAGGGGTGTAGAGATACCCACCCGTGACTGTCACATCAGGTTTACCTCGTGACTAACCCGCACTGCTGCTTCCACATCTGGGTAAGTGTGACAGTCCCATGTGCAACCAGACTACCAGCTGGGCTTGGCTCCCTGTGCCACAGTCACACAGCAGGCCACTGACAGTCCACAGCCTCCAACCACAGCTGTGCTCCACGTAATCAGTTAGAACAGTCATCCCTTAGGGCAGGGAGGCAAACATACAGAACTTCCAGTGATATAAACAGCCCACTGCAGCACACATGCCATAGTTTGCCTCCACTGTCTTAGGGGACTAAAACTGAGCTTTACTTCTAGTTCTTTTTAACCTAGAATCCATTTATGGCATCAGAATCCTTGGAGGTAAAGAGAAAAAACAAAGGAGCATGATTGTCTCAGGCAGAGCTTAGCTCCTTTGATAGAGAGACACCCTTCAGTTGGAAGTTGATCGCCCAAATGTCCCAGAGGCAGTGACACCTGAAGTTTGTGCTTACAGACCATCAGTGAGTTCTTTGAGCTCCTGGCTGGGGTGTGTGCGCGTGTGTGCGTGCACACGCGTGCGCATGCACACACGTATGTGCATTGCTTGCCCTCTTAAGCCTTCCTCCTCTTGGACACTGCAGGAAAAGACCAACTAGGAGGTTGAGCTGGAGTCCCAAGGAAGCTAACGCCTTCCCAAATGAGGTCGCTCAATCGAGCAGCCGGGCAGGGATGTGCAGTGCCCCTCCGTGGTGGGGATAAGGCTGGCGGCTCAGAAGCTCTGGCTCAGCCAGGCCCTGTGCTGTCCTTCCGTGAGCACTGACAGCTTTGACGTCTGTGATTACGTTACAGTGATGTGGAGTCAGTGTACCAGTGTGTCACAACCTAGGGTCATGGTAATAGAGTGCTGGGATTCTTTTTAACTTCCAAAAAGAATAAATGAGAAATATATAATTAAAGGTAATTTCCTAAGTGTCCGTTTTTCCCCTAAGTGTCTTATCTCTTTGAACCAACATGAAATGGACCGGAACTTTCTCAGGAACAAACGTTGTAGAGATGTAGAGACCTGTATGCACAGTACAGTGGGTGTCTGCTGAGGCAATGGGACACACGAGATGGGGCTGGAGATGGGAAGAGTCTGGGTTCCCAAACGATTGAGGTGAAGCCACAGTGACATCCAGCCTGCATATTGGTCATCACAGCCGACCACAGCCCAACCTGCTGCTCTGTGGGTGAGCACTTGCTCTGAGCCCTTGGCCTTGACCCCAGTTGCCCTGCACCCCTTGATCTCACCTTTGAGGATTTCTGGTGCAGCTCTGGACGCCGAGAACTGGGAGACACCTCTGTACCCAGGGAGCCTTTTCCACAGCCTGCCAGTCAGAGGCCCGGGGGAGAGCATGGCAAAGAGGCCTCCCTCCCAGCCCTCCTGTGGCACTGCAAGTGGGACCATATACATCGTGACTTCAGACCTTGGGCTGCTGATCCTCAGCTGCCCGGGCCCCTGTGTGCATCCAAACTGCCTCTGGCCACTTTTGTGCCTCTGACTTCAGTGGCATCCAGCCTAGTGTAGAACTGGCACTGGAGCTGGAGGAGTATCAGAGCATATCAGAGCACTAGGACCCAGCCTTTTGTCATTGAGGAAACAGAGGCAAGAGTGGGCCCAGTGAGGTATGGCATACTCCTGTAATCGCAGCACCCAAGAGGCTGAGGCAGGAAGATCACCATGAGGTTGAGTCCTGTCTGGACTACAGAGTTTGTTCAAGGCAGGACCCCATTACCCAAGATCACCTGGTATCCACTCTCTAACAGGCCTCACCCTAGAGTCTGTACAAAGACTGCAGCTGCCAGAGCCTCCTGCTGGGCTCCGGAGCCTGGGACTGAGCGGAGCCTGGGCCTGAGGCTGGCCGGCTTCTCTCCAAGCCCCTTAGACCTGCAGTCTGTGCACTGACTGGGAGGACGGCAGTGTAGCCACTGTGCAAAGGGCCCTCCCCCCTTAAGCCTACAGCTGTACTTCCATCAGTAGAGATGAAGGGAGGAGACCTCACTTCCTTCTGATTGGCTCTTGCCAAT